GTACACGGCACTCAGGCATCCACGGGGAACGAAAATTAAAAAGGGAGGGTCGCGCATGGTATAGGCACATATCCCCAAACTTTCAGCCTTCTAGCTTTTCTGGTTCTCGAGTTGAAAGTGGATGACAAAAAGTGCGAACACACAGACACAGACACAGACACACACACACACACAGACTGCCTCTTCCCAATATGCGTTTTTGCAATTTACATATATGCAAAAACGCATAAAAAGTAGCTTAGATCGTGGCTAGACACAGATCCTTGGGCACGTCGGCATGATACATTTTAGGATGAGTAAAGTTTCACTCTTTTTCCACAATTTTGCCGTGCTGTCACTGCCGAGATACTAACAGCTGTACTGAGGAAAACGAGTTCCCTCCTTGTACCGGGTTCCTCTGTTTCGCGCACGGGTTCCCCCTTGGCTGAGGCAACATTTTGTCATGCATTTTGAACTATCTCGGCAATCGCAGAAAGAAATTGCTATAATCCTCGTATCTGTCTTACATGTTTTATGACTGCAACAGCGGTATAAAACACACATTGCTAAGTGATCGGTGTGCGCTTTCAGGAACCTTTTCGAGCTTCTCAGCTTAATAAATGGACAAAAGATGAAATTTTAAAGGGGCATTTCACGCCTATGTTCGAATTCGCAAAGATCTAATTAGGTCTCACGTATGCCTAGTCCCATCTACAGACATACGGGATCTCTATAAGGAAATTTTCTAGCTCGGAAACAAGGAATAACAGAAAACTAAATTCTTACCAGGATGTTTCGTGTTCATGCGTGTCCCTCACATTACAAATTCAGCTGCTACACATGCACACGTCTAAGTATGAACATGTGAAAGTTCAGTCGTGAAATAAGTGGTATCTTTTTAGATTCTAACCCAGGCTGGAACGTACGGGGCGAACCCGGGCGATCATGCGTTTTTGCACCGGACTTGAAGTACACAGGTCATTGACTGCATGAATGGCTTTGCTTTGCACCTACCTTTTGCGACCACTAGCATAAATTATCATAAATTTTGCAAAGTAAATGTACTATTTTCAATTAATAGTCGTTCTTTAAAAGTAACCTAGTTGTTCAGTAAGAAATTTTTTCGCCGAAACTTTTAAATGACCGTACGTAAGAACCACGCACACCTCAAGACTGAATTTGAAATACTTATGTTGTACTTGGACAGGGAATATTCCCTCAAAATTTCAGCTTTTCTGCTTTTCTGATTACT